CGCCCAGGTCGTCCATGACTTCATCCTCATCCTTTACCTTGGTAGCTGCCTTGGTTGCTGCCCCCCTGTTTTTCTTCGGTAGCACTTCTACCTCGAAATCATCATCAGAATCGCCTCCATCGCCAGAGGGAGCAGAAGCGGGAGCAGGCTTCGCGGATGGCTTGCCCAAGTAGCTGAGGAGACCACCTTTAGGTTCTGTCTTCTTTGCTGCCGCTGATTTCTTAGTCTTTGGAGCCGCAAAGTCTTCGTCGTCCGAATCGTCGTCCAGCGCCGCCTTGCGCTTCTTGGTTGCTTTCCCCCGACCGGCGGCAGTCATGAGCTTCGCCGATGTACGGCGGCCCATATTAGCGACCTTGCGCTGGCGGCGAGCTTCATCCTCAAGCTGGAATCGCCATTCGTTGATAAAGTCATCAAGATCGCGCTTCCAGATATCTTCCTTGGAAAGCTTGATTAAGGCGTCCATCTCAACCTCCTTCTCTCCGATCTGTCGTCGTAGCTTTTCCACGCGCTCGTGGGTCAGAGACCACAGTGGCATGCCAAGAAGATAATCGTAAGCGCTCGATAGGACCTCAGTCTCGTCGTTGCCAGACTCGTCTTCTTCTTCCTCCACTACCGGCGCATCCTCGCCCGCCTTCACAGCATCAATCACCTTGGGAAAGGCCTTGAAGCCATGTTTCTTCAACTCGGCAACAAGAACAGGTTTCTTCTTCTTTGAGATGACAAGATCACCGTCTATAATCATCTGCACGAAACGAGCCTGGTTGGTGAGCTTGTCCAGCTCCTTCTGAAGTTCACTGAGTTGATATTGCTAGATGACGTCCAAGTTAGCATGCCTTCAAATATGCAAGGCGTCAGAGCCACATACCTTACGACGTTCGTAAAACTTGAGACGAACTGCGTAGAATTCCTTCAAGATGTCGTCGACAGAAGCGTACTTGGTGATCCGGCCTTCAGGGTCAAAAGCAACCAGATTGGTGGTTGCGATGGTCTTGGACAGCTTGAACTTCTCCTCCAATCCTTCCGCCACGGCGGACTTGATGTTCTTCTCGTCCATTTGGATGACAAAGTGCACCTTGGTGTGCGTGTTGTAATCCTTGTAGTCCTTGATGAAAGATGGCGTTTTCTCGGCCTTGATAATTTCCTCGAGTTTATCCTTGAAGTCCTGTGTCCAGGTGCGAATGGGAAGTTCAGTAATCTCCACCTCCTTGTCGCCGGTCTCCTTAATAATACCGCTGAACTTGAAGCGGTCACCTCCAAGAGCAGTGACTTCGCCGGTGAATCCGCGGAACCACGGCTGCATGGGCTTGACGGGCTGGCTGTCCATCAGCCGCTTCAGATTGTCCACAATGTCTTCCGGATTGTAGTTAGGAATTGACGAACTCCAACCAGTGCCGATACCGTCAGCACCGTTGATCAGAATCAGAGGCACAACGGGAACGTAGACCTCTGGCTCAATCTTTTTGCCGTCATCCTCGTTGTAGGTGAGAAGAGGATCATCCGCAGCGTGGAACATACGACGCGCAAAGGGCGACAGTCGGGTATAGATATAACGAGCACTAGCACAATCTTGACCACCTTGGAGACGACTTCCAAAATTACCACTGGGCTCGAGGCAATTGATGTTGTTTGATCCGACAAAGGTCTGTGCGAGACCGACGATAGTCTGCTGCAGGGAGGCATCACCATGCTGGTACGCGGTCATACCGGACACATGCCCCGCCAGTTCAACTACTTTCATATCCTTCTTAAGATTGCGACGGAAACACGTGTACAGGACTTTACGTTGACCGGGTTTCAAACCATCGACAACAGAAGGGATCGACCGCTGATTGTCCGCCATACTGAACAGGATGAGCTCTTTGTTGATGAAGTCGGTATACGTGATCTTCTCGACGGAATGATCCAGAAAGGTTCCAGGCTTGAACTGGCGCAGCCATTCCTTTCGCTCGTCGGCCTTCTTTTTCGAAAAGGCAAGCTCAATGAGCTCCGTCTCGTGATCCTGCATGGTATGGAACTCCTTCAGATGGCGGTCGAGGTCACGGAAGTAGACCTGGGCATCTTCGGTCGTGCTCGTACCCAGACCCTTGTAGTACTTGTGTTCCCAGCCACGTTCATGCTTGTGCTCCTCTTTCCAGGCTTCATACTCGGGCATGGTGAAGAACGAGCGTTGTTTGGTAGGGTTCTTGGGATCTCCCTTCCAAACCTTTACAATAGGAGTGATGAACTCAATCAGGAACTCCGGGATCTTCAGCAGACTAGGAAATTGAGCCTGAAGGAAGTTGATGAGCAAGCCCTTGATATGACTGCCGTCATGATCCTGATCGGTCATGATCATCAAATGACCGTAGCGCAGCCCGCGGGTATCGGTGTATTCCTTCTTGTGCTGTAGACCAAGGAAGTTCTTGATATTTTGGATTTCCTGGTTCTTCGAAATCTGCTCAAAAGAGGCATCGCGGACATTGAGCAATTTTCCTCGCAAGGGGAAGACACCGAAAAGGTCGGGTCCGACGACGGCTCGCCCAGCCATGGCAAGACCCTTGGCCGAGTCACCTTCGGTCAAGATGAGAGTGCAGTGGTGACCATCCTTGGTACCAGCCTTGTTGGCATCGACCAACTTCGGGTTGTTCATTCGGGTGCGACGCCCACCATCCGTTTTCTTCAACAACTGATCCGCCTTGGCTTGAGCGAAGTGCAGGATGTTGTTCATGACTTCGGTCTTGAGGATCTTCTTATAGAAGTCTTCTTCAAGAGTACATTTGCTGCCGAACTGGCTCGACTTTGTTGTCAGCTGCTCCTTGGTCTGGGAGGTGAAGGCCGGGTTCACAATCAGAGCGTTCACAAAAATGAAGATATGGTTTCGAATTTGGGCAGGCTTCAGTGTCGCTCCGTTCTTGTTCTTCTTCTTGACTTGGTCGGCCAACCTGGCGCAGATTTGATCAGCAATGTAGTTAACGTGAGTTCCTCCCGAGGTGGTAGCAATGGAGTTAACAAAGGACACCTGATGGAACGAGCCGTCCGAGACTGTAAATCCGATCTCCCAGTGAGGGTCTGGACTGCAGGTGATAATTTCGTCCTTGGCGTTGGTGTCCTCTTCGCCCCGTTCTCGGCGGATGGCCTTGGTGTACATCTCCATGTACTTCTTGAAGTTGCGAACTGGGATGCGGCTACCATTCAGCTTGACAGCGACCTTGGCAGTTCCTGCCAAATCGTACACACGACGTTTGACGAGAGCTTCAAAATCATCGTCCATACCCTCCATTCCGAATTTGGCGTAGTCGGGCTTGAAGGTAACTTTTGTGTAATCGTCGCCCTTGGCATCGGTGATCTTGGCCTTGCCCATCTTGGACATGTTGTTGGTCCAGGTCTGCTTGTACTTTTTCTTTTGACGCGAGTCTTGAGTTTCGATGGTGAATTCGGTGGAGAAGACGTTGCAAAGCTTAGCACCGAAACCGTTACGACCACCGGTCACCTTCTGCTGGGTGTCATCGTAGTTGGATGAGGTGAGAAGATGGCCGAAGATCAACTCGGGAACGTAAATGCCTTCTTTTGCATGAATCTCGATAGGAATACCGCGACCATTGTTCCAAACGCTGATCTCGCCCGACTCGCGGTCGATGGTCACACGAATCTCATCCATGTTCGCATCATTTTGCTTGTTATCAGCAGCGTTGACGACGATTTCATCAAAGATCTTGTAGAGACCGGGCACATAAGAGACCTCCCTGTATTTCATTCCCTCCATTTCCGAATCGTACACCCACATAAACTGAGTAGTTCGTTCGACGGACCCGATATACGTATCAGGACGTTTGATAATGTGTTCAAGTTGTGTAAGCTGGTAGATAGCACCAATTAGCATGCTTCCTCTACATAGTGGAGTGCAAAAGAGTGGTGCAAAGTCAACAGCAGACTCACCTTCTGGTACTTCTCTGACGCATTGGTGGACTTTGCAGGTTGATCGCCAACATCCCCTCCAAATGATTCATTCTCCACGTCTGCAAGAGGCTTCGAGCCTCCTTTCTTGCTAGCGGGAGCCTTTTTGACCTTCTTGGGAGGTGTCTGGGAAAGAGAGGAGTCGTCGTCGGACATTCCCATGTCGTCAGACAGATCATCCTCACTATCGGGCTTGGATCGCTTTTTTGACGCGGTCGCCTTCGCCGCTGGCTTAGCTGTGAGTTTTGTTTGGGTCATTTTCTTTGGTGCCGCTTTCTTGGGGGCGGCCTTTGCCTTGGGTTTCTACGAGAAGACAGGTGTCAGCACGAGCTGGTTGGATTGAGAAATTGCCAGATTTTTGAAATTCATACCGCTGCAGGCTCAGGGACGAAGTCGGAGCTACCGTCGTCCTCAAAGACGGAGCCCTCCATGATAGAGTCATCCATGATGAGGGAATGTTATGGGAAGACTTGAAAGACACGGGCGGAGAATATGAAAAAAAGAAGAGGCAAATCTGGAAGGTCAACGAGCGACAAAAGGGTAATAGGACTGAAGAGATGCCAGAGACTAGGTCTAAACCTCCGGCATGCTCGTAGAAAAAAGGTGAGTGAGATATGCTCACTGCTCGTTGTTGTGTTCTGTAAGTCCTGTTTACCCTGTTGTTGACGCGCGCTGCGGCCGACTCCTTGTTAGTTGTTTCCAGAAATTGTCACGAGCCACGCGGAACATTGTTTTCCCCAGCCGGATGTGGCGCAACAGCAGCCTAAAAGGGAAATTCACAAACAAGCTGGCCCAAAAGAGGAAGGCGGGACCCAAACAATTCCAGGAGCGGCGGCGGGGAGGGGAAATAAATACTGACCTATGCTGGGACAAAACCTTGGTTTCGTATCTCTTCCTCAGCTTCTTCTCGGAGTACATCAACGGATAATCTCCACAGGTCATTGGGGTTTCTCCCAGCGGGAGTTTGGCTGCCAAATAGCTCCCCTATGCTGATGGGAATCAGTTGAGGAGGACTGTGCGGAGGAGGGCGGGGAAAAATCTCCTGCAATGACACTGTTATTTAATGACTACAAGAATTGGAGGGGAAAGCCCCTTACAAAGGTAAGTGGCGCTGGCTGATTCTTCCTCCAGGCTTCGACACGGCCCTTTATTCGAGATTGAGCTAACAAGGACCATTTGATGAGGATGACTACATTAACCCAGAGATCCTTGTCTCTTAAGAGTCGAGGGTATGATTCGGAGTAACCGACTTCGAACACAACTGTGGGCAAAGGCAAGCGCTTTGGCTGTATGTAGGCGTCCGGTTCTTTAAATGACATCGCGTAGGGAGGGGCGAAGGAATCAAACCCTATACTTGGTTAGATATTGAAGAAGCAAAAGAGGACGTAACATACTGGTACCTGAACTCATAGGAAGGGAGGAATTCTCGCGGACACTGAAAAACCCCGACTGGCCAGCTAGAGCGAACTCATTTTTCAACCAAGGCAGCACGGACATATGCAACCCAGTTGGCATCGTGACATGGAACTCCTTGCTAACGGAGTTGAAGTTAATATAAACAGACCTCTCTTCGATCTCCTTATCGCAATCAAGACTGATTGCGACCTGACTGCCAATCTCAGGCTCGATGTTGGTGTATGACAGGAAACCTGGCCCATTTACGGAGAGAATGTCATTCTTCACCTTCAAGAAGAACCTTTGAGGAAACTGAGTAGGGTCAGTTGGAGTGCGGCCGCGCCGCGGTCGTGAGTGCATAGAATCACTCGACATTGTGTTAGTGTCTGAGGGAAAGTAAATCGAAGCGCCAAAGTGAGAGCAGAGTAACAAATATGATAGAGTGATAGGTAATAAGATGAATAAAGGAAAAAGTGAAAGTAGTGAGAGAGAAAGCAAATGATATCTAGTTCTTAGGGCGCTCAAGTAGTGTATGTAAAGTGAGGCTATTGAAGTAGTGAATGAAAAATGAAGTTACGATGATATAAAATAGTCACCAGCATAGACAGTATAATGAGATCATGCTTCCCCATGGAAACACAAGCCGCCTGCCGCTGTCTACGTCTCCGCATCTGCTAAACCTCGACAAGGTTGAGATCGAATATACTTTCCCATATATTGTTCAATGATCATCAACCTCGTGGACATTATACTCAAACATCTGATTTGAGAGTATTTTGTGTTCATTATCCTCCAACGTCGCTGCCACCCGCCGCAGGGACTCAATACTGAGTTTCTAGTGCTGAATAGCAACATCTAAGAAGACAGGATAGCTAGTATCAGCAGCGTAATAGTGTTAGGAAGTAGCTTAAGAGTAGCAAATACACCAGGAGTGATACGAAGTTCGGGACTTTGACACCTGGAGACGCGAGCCGAATTCATGGATTAGCAAGTTATGCGTAGGGCAGTACTCTGTACTTGTTGGCCCTCTGATGGGACATTTTTCACTATCAGTACACTAATGCGCCTGAGCAGCCTTGCCATTTATCTAATCATAGCCCCAATTTTCAAGATCTTGAAATCATCAGAAACAGAAAACCAGAAGGACCATCCATATCCTATCCCAATTCGACTGTGCGCCTTCCGGAGCGCATGGACAATGTCGCGGGCATCATCCCGACCGCTGGATATCGAATTGATCACCAGTACGGGGTAGATACCTAATCCTGATCCTTAGTTCTTTTAACTCAGTAATTCATACCCATTCAGGGGCTCCAAAAGTCAATCCATGGGTCAAATATCCCCCGTGCGGAGAAATGACTGGTCTTATGGGCCTGACTCTGAGTGCCTTGCATTGCAGATCAGTCTTTACTCCAAATTCAGGGACAACAGTAGACAGACATACTTGGATTCTTCCACTCACGAAGCCAAGACAATCATCTCCGTTGATATTGACACCAGCAAAAATCATCAAGAATGATTATTGACCAGGGATCGACATGGGCGAGGCCTTGAACCGAACAAGACGGATGATTCGTGGTTTTCGCGTTTCTCGAACACACCAAAGTGGGCTCGGGCTGCCCCTATTTCATCGATTCATCCTGTCATATCCCACTTCTGAGTCTAAGGCCGTCCTAGCATTGCTGCTAGCCAAACAGCGCTGTCCACTAAACCGGTCTAATTCATTATTCTAACACCCTGAGGATCCACCGTCTAGACTAGGAGTCCATAGACTCTAGTAGTGTCCTTGACATTAGCTTAGGGAGGAGCCTTGAAACACCACCGCTACTTCTCCCACTTCCCTCGACTCCTGCTGTACTGTTTTTTTCCCTCTCAGTTGGCTTAAGGTGACACGAAGTCAGTGTTCACCACGTTCTTTCTGCTCTCGTTTTTAGAAGCGATGCTGCCGTTATTGGCGGTTTATCGACCTCTCGTTCAGCTCATCTCTCCTTATCGCCCTCTGGTTTTGGGTTAATCCTCTGCGGGTGTTCGAATTTCACATAGATACTGGCTGCGATCTGCAATTGATGCCTTTTTTGACCGATTAATTGTCGACGAACTGTGATTGATCTGCGGTGGAACATCCACGATCGAATCCTAATAAACAGCACATCGACAATGGAGAGCTCCGACCCGATCGCGTCTCGCGCGCATCCCGCGGACAGCGTTCCCGATAACAATGAGCCAACGCATCCGAACCATACCGATTCGATGGTGACGGTCCCTTTATCCGACGTACAGTCCAATTCCGAGCATTCGCAGCCCGATTGGCGGACGCTTGATATTCCTCAGACACCCGTCGAGTCGACTTTGCCTGGGGAGGAAGAGATATATGATGAAGCTAATGTGGAAAGGGAGACAACGCCGACCCAGGGCTGTGTGAAAACAGAACTTGCGACGGATTGTACCTCGATTGCTCCATCTGTTCGGTCCCGTAGCAGCGAAGAATATGAACGAGGCGATGCAGTGAACTGGGAAGAATTGGATAAAACGGAAGAGCAAGAGCCCCGTGGTGAGGGATCTGATGAATCGACTGCTCTTCTTTTGGCTCGGTTGGAGCAGGAGAACAATGCTCTAGCGACGAATCCCAAGTCTGTGAGCCAGCACCGACTGCAGACAAGGGCGTCGCGAGCGCAGTCACTGCACCAAATCAAGCGGTTGATTAACGAGGACCCTCGATCGTCTCTGCGATACTCTCAGCTGCCGCCTCCTCCCATGACTGAGCTCGAGTTCTGGGCTGCCTTGGTCGCGGATTACCCTCAGACTGCCCAGCGATTGCCGACTTTGACCTCCAACAAAATCCGCGGGGGTATCCCCCCGCCGCTTCGAGGCGTAGTATGGCCTAGCTTGGCTGGGGCTCGAGATTCTTCATTACTAGTCGAATATGAGAGGCTGTGCGGCGAATCAAGTCCGTACGAAGGATTGATCGGGAAAGACATTGGTCGCAGTTTTCCTAACGTGGAAATGTTCCGTGACCCCCACGGCGAGGGGCAGCAGATGCTGGCTAGAGTTTTAAAGTGCTTCAGTCTCTACGATACTAAGATCGGCTACTGTCAGGGGCTGGGATTTGTCGTTGGACCCTTGCTGATGCACATGACCGATGCGGAAGCGTTCTGCGTATTAGTACGGTGGGTTTCCACTCACATACTGTTTCTCGAGGCCCGAGCTGATTGTAACAGGTTGATGGATCACTATGATCTGCGGACATGCTACCAGCCTGATCTATCCGGTCTCCATTTGCGCGTCTATCAGTTCCAGAACCTCCTTGCCCGCCACCGTCCCGCTTTGTTCGCTCACCTGGAATCCTTGAATGTGGAGCCGATCTATGTGTCTCAATGGTTCCTGTCCTTTTTCGCAGTATCCTGTCCTCTTCCCATGCTTCTTCGCATTTACGATGTCATTTTCTTGGAAGGGGCGTGTGAGACCTTAATGCGTGTCGCCTTGTCGCTGATGCAGAGGAACGAGAAGAAGATCATGGCCTATACTGAGTTTGAGGACGTGATGCAATTCTTGCTGTCGAGGAGTCTGTGGGATACGTGAGTCTGCTCGAGCTTCGAGATTCATGCGCGACCTGACTGATTTTCGCAGATACGCTTGCCACGCCGACGACTTTGTCAATGACTTTGTCTCGCTGACGTCGCTGGTCACTAAGGAAAGTTTGCAGGCGTTGGAAGCCAGCTACAATCAGTCGCAAGGGGTGCCAACCGGCATCACTTTCCCTCAGATGCAGGCTGCGGCGTCGAGATTCCTGGGCCGATTCTGGGCGGGATCCGGCTCTCAGGCGAAGTCCTTCAATCTCAATCCCAACAATGGCAGTATGTCAGCTCGCGCCAGTGTCCGCCGGTCTGCATCCAAACAGAGCATGACCTCCACGCTCAATTCGATAGAATCAACATCCGATGCGAGTACAGCTCCGACGGAGCTCTCAGCAGAACCGCCCAAGCCACGGGCCAAGTCCGCCATGTCGCACAACAAAGACCGTGATCTGCACTCACAGATCGAGGATCTGCTGATGGCGCTAAGCGATCTCCAGCGACAGCATGCGGATCTTACACGGGAGCTGCAGCAGGAGCGCGAGGAACGGGAAGAGGACCAGGAACTGGCGAAGTCCATGCTGAACTACATCAAGGAGATCGAGGCAGATGATCCGCCCGCTGAGTTGATTAGCAAAGCGGAAGAGAGATTCGTGGACTCGGCCAGCGCGAAGCGCGTTTCGATCCCCCAGACGAAGCAGCAACTCCGTGAGGATCTCAACCGGTGGAAGGAGATGCACGAGGTCGAAGCGGGCCGGTGTCTCGATCTGACGCGTCGCATTGACGAACATGAACAAGAGAACTCGTCGCTGAGAGAGCAGTTGCGCGAGGCTCGCAGTCGCATCCAGGATGGTTATCGAGATCGCCAACGCCTGGAGAGAACCATCCGGGAGCTGCGGACCATCAAGACGTCGACCCCCGACTCGCCACCAGAGACGTTTGGCTCGCCGACCAGTGACGCGGGAGAGAGCCGGTCGCCCAGCGGGCTCCGCGAGCTCAAGCTGGGGCGGTCGAATTCCCAGAAGAGCACGACGTTCAATAAGAGGTCGAGCAGTCTCGGACTGCAGTCGGTCCTGTCGACGGAGAACCACAAACCCGCAGCGGAGGAGACGCTGCTGCTGGAGCTGGTGAACGCTAAGACGGCGGAGGCGGTGGCCAAACAGGAGCTGGAAGAAGTCAAGGCAAAGCTGGACTCGTTGAGGAAGATGATCGGAGGGCAAGGATCATTGCCACGAAGCGATTCGCGCAATTCTTTTATCGGCCGGTCCTCGACGAATCTCGCTAAATCAGCCACGGAGCCAGTCAATAGTGGAGGAGGATTCTTCAGTGGCTGGGGGCGCCGAGCCGTGTCTTCCAACGATTCGTACGCAGAAGCCAGGTGAACTTCGGTCTCTTGCATTAGTGTCTGGCATGTTGGATAGGCGTTTTGTTTTTCATCTTTCAAGTATATGATACCTTGTATATACCTCACAGATTGTACTAAATAGATACATATATCCACTGTCCAATCATCCAGAGAAGTAACTACCTTACCGAAAAGCAGCCCAAGCCTGCAACGCCCCCATAGCCGCAACAACCACCCCATTGGCCTTGACCCCCTTCTTCAAATACCACCCAGCACTCACCCACACAATCGCCGTCATCAACGCCGCAATCCCCTTGTTAATTGGCTCTACCAGCAGCGCGGGATTCTGCGCCCAGTTGTAGTTGATCATTGCTGCAGCCTAGCTCAGCATCCTCGTCTTTACTTCCCAGGGAGGGGATAAGGACAAACCAGTCATGAGGAAAAAGGCACTACCCTGGTACCAGCCTGCCTTGGCGCAGGTGTAGGCTAGATTAGGCAGTTTGTTGAATTGAGGGAGGGATTGCCAGTCCCGTGCTGAGATCTGCGGCATTCAGTAAATATGTATGTATGGACTCTGCAGATGCAGATGGGATGGGATGGGATGGGGGAGTCTTACAGTATGGCCTACGGAGATGAGGAGCCAGCCGATGGAGGTGGCTTTTAGGGGGGTGGAGGTGGTTGAGAGGGACATTTTGGTTATGCTGTTTTCTTCCTTTTGAGTGTGATTGATGTGGTTTGATGATGTGAAGGATGGAGATCTCGAGATGGTGTTCAGTTTGAGATGGAGGTGGTGATGATGCCAAGACCGAGTTCCTCGGCTCAGGATGGTCATGATTCATGATCGTGGAGAAGTCGACTATTTTCGGTTTAGGGATATTTATGCTCTAGGCTGCGGACCCTGTAGACTCGATTATCTGGTGGTGATCGCTCTGTATAACCCCTTCTTAAATCTATATAGACCTCTGTGCTATTGTACTCCCTTCTGGACCCACCTCCAGACGCTCTGTCTGCCGCGGATTCTATTATTCTATCATTCTTTCAAGTATGATAGCGATATTAGCTGCTGTGGATAGAGGACCTTTGTATAGAGGACTGTAGCCTCTGGAGTTAACGCCCCTGTTGATAAGAGCTGATCGTTTCCTGGTTTACCGTCGGAGGGCCTCCGATGCGGGGTTGACGTATTGATCGCGGGGAGATACATCCGTTGTGCAAAATCAGCATCTCTTCAGATTCAAACAGATTCAAAATGGTCCTCGCGAAACCAGAGAACAAGCACGTGCTCAAGGCTTTTGACCTCACGGGCAAAGTGGCCGCTATAACTGGTAAGTTGCCAATATACGCATGGCGACAACGCTGATCGGACAGGCGGCGCTCGTGGCATCGGCCTGGAAGTTTGTCGTGCTCTGGCCGAAGCAGGTGCCAATGTATGTCTCAGCCTCATCTTTCCATGTATGATAGCGAAAAAGCTCACGATCAGGTCGCGTTGATCTACAACTCGTCCAAAACGGCCGACACAACCGCCGCAGAAATCGCCTCCGCGAACAACGTCAAGGCCGCAGCTTACCAAGCGAACGTCAGCAACAAGGCCGAAATTGAGAGGACCATCCAGCAGATTGCCTCCGACTTTGGAGGACTCGATATCATCGTCGTCAACTCGGGGATCACCTCGAACGTCGCGGCGGAGGACTACACGGCCGAGCAATGGAAGGAGATCATGCAGGTGAACCTGGACGGCGCGTTCTACACTGCTCAGGCTGCCGCGAATATCTTCAAGGCCCAGGGACGCGGCAACGTCATCTTCACGGCGTCTGTGAGCGCGACGCTGGTGAATGTTCCGCAGAAGCAAGCTGCGGTATGCTTTTCTCTTGCTAAGCAACTGCAGCGTGATTGCTGACGGGAGTAGTATAATGCCTCGAAAGCGGGGGTTGTGCAGCTGGCCAAATGCCTGTCTGTCGAATGGGTGGATTTCTGCCGGGTGAATTGCATCTCCCCTGGTTTCATCGAGACTGATATCCTGGATATCCATCCCAAGGAGTGGAGGGAGAAGTGGTATAGTATGGTTCCTGCGCAGCGTTTTGCGGATACATACGAGCTGAAAGGGGTGAGTTTTTCTTTCAGGTGAAGTACAGCAGTGCTGATTTGATCACAGGCGTATGTGTTTTGTGCCTCGGATGCGTCGAGTTATATGACGGGGGCTAATATTGTGATTGATGGGGGATATACTCTTCCATGACGTTTGTGTCTCTGATGTATGACAGAATTCATTGTTTTTCAATCGGCAGTGATTGATAATATGAAGCACATAAGCGTCGAGCTGCGTCATAATAATGAGGACCAACAGTGTCACATCTCATCTGTTGGACCAGTCCATGAAGCAACCGATAGAGCGGAGGAACCTGTCAAAATGATGTAGAGTGGGCTGCAACGTCAATTGTATAATTCAGGTAATAACCAAGATGGTATGACCTATCAAGCGAGAGTTAATGGCAGCTGTATAGTCCTGATGTTGTAGCGCCGTCAGGAAACAATCGAACAGACCTGTTTTTTGTTGGCAGCCCAGATGCCGTTGGCGACATTATCTGATAGAAGCTGTCCCTACTGGAACTAAACCGGAGATTTGAGCAGTCAAAGCCCAAAGAAATCCGGAAAGAATCACTAGTAGAAGAGTGAGTGTCGAAAGACCAATAATGGTTTGTGTCTGTAGCGCTGGGATAATCTCGTCGTTCAAGATGTGCAGGTCTCAACTCATGGGCATACAGGATACAATAACCTCGATAATATACCATGGACCGACATGAAGACAGATTTAGCAAGATTCCTGCATAAGGCCCGAGCACCGGGAACATAACCGCCAGCCCAGTTGAAACAATCTGCACTCCAGTAAGCGCCGTCACTTGCTGATGACCACGGTCAGCATCCAGCCTTACTTCGATAGATTTGATAGGCTTAGATCGAGCGCAGACATTTCCCAAGCATTTTATAAAACAATCCATCTTTGCTGAACCAAATGACTGGCTAAGAGTGCTCGTCGTCGCTCGGCGCTTGAGAGGTCTGCTAAAGACAACAATCCCTATTTAGCAGATACATAAGGACGTAGAACAACATATAAAAAGGTCAGAACTGCTGGTACTCGAATATCATTGCTTGTAGCCATGTCCAATATCAACATTTTTTACACAATGCATCAGCAAAGGAAGCAATTGAATATCTTATCCCTCGACGGCGGAGGCATCCGCGGTCTCTCCTCCCTCCATATGCTCAAATATATGATGCAAGCAATCGATCCACGTCAACCACCAAGACCATGCGAAGTCTTTGATGTCATTGGCGGGGTTGGGTCAGGAGGGTATGTACGCCTCTAAGGCTCTTGTGACCATCATAATAAGAGTACTAGGTTAATCGCTATTATGCTTGGTCGTCTCAAAATGGACGTGGAGCAATGCATAAATGCATATCAGAATTTATTGGAGTGCTCTTTCCAGCAGAGATCACTGCACTTGCGCCATGGCAAGTCCGAACCCCAGAGATCATTGCACTTGGGCCATGCCAAGTTCGACCCCCAGAGATGTGCGTCTGAGCTCAGAAGCATCCTCGTGCAATCGGGTTATGAGGAGAATGCGCTGTTCGGAGAGTCAGAGCCCTCGTGCAGAGTGTATGTCCATCATACTTAGTATTGCGTGATCTGTCTGACCCATATCAGTGTTATCTACCTCACCGATTGGAAGACCCAGAAGAGCTTCCCCCTGACCTCTTACGAAAGCAAACGCTGTCCGTCTGAGCTATCAATGACTGCGACAATAGTTCAAGCAGGACAAGCTTGCCTAGCGTCCCTTGCTGGCTACAAACCTGTCACCATCGGCCCTGACGGAAAGAAGTACTGCGATAGCAGTCGGAACATTGTCAATCCCGTGCGCCAGGTGTGGGCCGAGGCAAACGGGTTATGGCCGGGAGTACTGGCAAGTCAGCTGGGCTGCGTTGTATCTATTGGTGCGGGCACTGCTTCCATCAAGGGCAAGGGTATGCATGAGGAGATGGGGCTCGAGCGTATGCTGTCGCAGCTTGATGTTCATGATCCTGAAAAGGAGGCGAATGCGTTCCTCCAGACGCATACGGAGTTGGATGATGCAGGTCGGTTGTACAGGTTCAATGTCCCTGATGGTCTAGGGGATATCAAGGTCGATGAGATGAAACAGATGGAATTGGTTGTGGAGGTTACGAATGACTTTTTGACCACTGAGCTGGTTCGCAAGCAGATGAGGAGATGTGTGAGTGCATGTGTGTGTTGACTCGGCGTTAAGATCGTCAATGACGCTGTTCGCCAGGAGATTGCGCTATGTGCTGCATAATTGAAACAGACGCAGGTTTGAGTAGGGTACAGCCGTTTCCTGTCCAGAATTTGCATTTTTGATTTGTATCAACGTCACCTATGATGATGTGTCTACTTACGTGTGTATTAACTTGGAATTGAACGATAGCTATGAGTGTATGAACAACGATCGCCCAAAAATCAATTGACAAGAAATTGTTTCAGTTGGAGACCTGCCACCGTGTCGCGTGAACCCTCCAATAGAGAAAACGAACTGTAGGGGCACTTGTGATCGGCATACCGTGGCTCGTAGCTGTAGATTGAAGCCCTCCACTTCGGGGCAACAAATGACTGGACAGATTTGATCAAGTCTTTGACATTGCAACCCTTGTAATAAAATTTGACCTCTGACTCAAGTAGACCCTTTTTGTGCATTTGCTCCGTGAGAGAACCAAGCATGATGGACCTGCACTCGAAGTTGCAACCTTTAATTCCTATCATGAACGCATCACGTTCTTGCTGAAGTTGAAGAATGACCTTGCATATAGCCTGTTGCCTTTTCTGGTTCATCTCGTCTAGATTCGTGGTCAGCAATCTCTTTTATTGAGAGGATTGGTACAGACTTACAAATGATGCGCGCTGGAATCGGCAGCTCCAGTGCATCGATCTTATCCTTGCTCTGCGACATGGCAATCGAGGTCGCTTTCTTGAACTTCATGGGCATATTGAAGTACCAAGAAATCCACAGCCACAAGATCAAGTTCCGTGAGTACGTATCTGGAAGTTCTTCCCGCAGACAGATAATCCACGCATCGCGGATGAACCCCACGAGATCGTTGCATTCATAGTAGTCTGCGAGAACAGCGATCTTAGCAGCGAGCTCGAGGCTCACCCTCTTTGGGAGTTTGTGGTGCTGGCAATGAAGAATTCGAAGGAGAATCAAGAAAGCCTCAACATCAGCCCTCAGTGGTAATCTCGACTGATCCAGTACCAACAAAAGTTGAACCTTCCTTCCATTTGCCAGTCAGGGCTTTCTTGAATACGGGAGAGGCCAGCATCAAGTGCTTCGCCGACACTTGAATACGGACGTCGGCTTCAGACGGTATACTGGCCAACTTTTCGACAGACCCATTGGCTGGCTCGTCATTCGAAGCATCAGAGTCGCTACCAGACGACAGCATGGGCTCATCAGCTATCCCGTCTGGCTTTTCTGCAGACTGTTAGTCAATATATGACGAGTAGGTAATACTTAGTGACTCACGGGAATTAGCAGACTCTTCAGCTGGAGCATTCTCATCATTCCAGACGGCGAAATGTGCATTGGGCTTATGCACGATGATGATCACTTCGCCTTCCGGGTCGATAGTATGAGTTTCCTCCTCCATTGTGATGTAGGCGCTTTGAGATCTGCTTCTAGATACTATAGACAAAAGGGAAAGATCTTTCAAGCTGGGAGGCAAAGGATAAAATAGAAGATCAATGGTCTCGGCAGTAGCTTTAAGTATGAAGGCGACCTCGAGGAAGATGCCTGTCTAGTGGTCTGCAGTTGTGTAGTAAGTATAAACACTGATGATGGTACCTGGGGGCTCCCTTTAATTGATTGTTCGTATCATATCCAATTTGCTTTCACCTCATCTGCTAAGAGGTCCTTTTTATATTCATCACTTGATGGAAATGGGAAAAGTATCGCTTAGATTGCTCTCACAAGTAAGCCTGCAGCTTACCCGTACCAGAGATCATACCTTCAACATTTCATCAACCTTTTATTGACAATGATCTGAATCGTCCCAACGCCACCACTAGCATCTCAACGTACTACTCTCTTCAAATTCTCTAACGAAGGTCGAAGATAGCTCTCTACAAACCCAGCTAACATACCCGCCCGCGTAAGTCTCGATCCCTGCAGGGAAGTACTCACCCCTCCCACATCCAATCCTCCAGCGTCATCTAGCCGACGCTTTTACATCCGCGTTTCCGTCATGATCTGAAACGAAACCGATGGCCTGATCCCTGGTGAAACAAAACTCCTCTCTGTGCTCTTTCCTTCTCAGGCCGATGCGGTATAACACCACGCAATAGAAAGCGCTCAAGAACAGCGTAGAATGCAATTGTGCCTTGGTTAGAAATGGAGGTGAAGGCAGATTTGAGGATGACGCCGAGAATTTCCGCAGGTAGACGAAAAGAGAAACCATTCTGTCCATGCCTTCTTGACTCTAATGCTGACGCCGTTATAGGATCTGATGTTAAGGTAGAGGAGGTGGATTTCTCATATCGCGGAGGCAACAGCATTGCTTTGCTTCTAAAGCCTTGCTCACCGGCCAGCATGCTCTTCTTGCCGCTGAAAGTCCCGATGCACTCGGATCGACATGGAATTCTTTTCATTTCTTTCACTGTCGCTGCCTTCGTCTCCCACGAATTGGGTGCCTTCGGCAGGCTCCGAGTTTGTCGTCAAGATTGCTTCGTCCTCTTTAGGCCGGAGAATCAAACGTTCATCATTGTTTCTGTGCTGGCTGTCGTCAAGGGAGCGTAAGAGACGATGTTTATCATGGCCACCTGAGACACGCTGGATTCGTGCTTTACGCTGGAGCTCAACCTCTTGCGACGAACTCGCGCCAAATTTGCCCGCTATCCGAGAGGATCCGAGGATGTGCTTGAGAGTTGATTTGAGAAGAGGCTGCAAGGTTGGAAGACAGGCGCAGACAATGCCGATACACGGTTCCACGCTGGACCAGATGAATACGTCGCCCATAATCCAGGTAATGTCGAGAGATCTGCTGAGGAAGGTCATGAAATAGATGCGGACGATGCTCGCGACGCACACGCTGCAATTGTTAGCCTCTTCCACTATGCATTCATCAGGGACAGGGCAACCTACAATCCTCCCAATAAGAAGATACCGGACACCAGGATCTTCTGTGCCGTTCGCATCTGGAGTTTCCAGACCAGAGGGATGGGAACCATTAGGATTATACCGTCCGTTGCCACGTTGGCCGCCGCGTTGCCAATGTAGAAAGGGTAGAGGTTGAAGATACATTTGCCCCCGCTGGGGTCCCGATACTGTGTCCAGTAATATGATAATGGTCGGCAACAGACGAGGAACGCAATAGTGCATGAGAACCAGTAGCCGACGGTCAAGAATGCACAAATCCACATCACCCAGTTCATGCCAAAGATGCGGCGATAGAACAGGATGATAGAGAGCTTGATCAGTGGAATAGCAACGACATAGATGAGAACATATGCAAACAGAAGCTGTTGAATCAGCCCATCCGTCTCATCTATCACATAGGTTTGGTTGGCCATACCTGCATCACGACGATCACATTGTCCATGTCGACCACCCAGACATGTTTCCCAAGGCCATAGTAGCCCCCTGAGATACGTTAACCTTCGAGCACCTGTAGCGGGGTCAGTATAGGGTTGCATACCCACAATGGTGCAGACGAGATTCGCCGTGACGGGGATCTGTTTTCGCTCAGTATGCCCCAAATGACCTGTTCATTGACAGAGACGTACAAGTGCTACACCAATCAACCAGTCATCCGCCAGGACATTGGCATGCTGCACCTTTAGCCTGGCGGTGATTCGTAAGGCAATCGCAATAATGGCGAGAATGTACAGTGCCATGACCGTGGCATTGTTCCTGGGCGTGTGGTTTTCTTTGAGGTCTATGCCTGGGGAAGGCTCGCCGAACGGGCTTGACATCGCAATTGAAAGTGTCTGACAGTCAGAAGTCACGAATCTTCTGAGAGACTGAGAAGCACATTTTCCAATTGCGATGGATGAGCGAGGGACATGACGTCTCCCGTGAGACTGAGAAGATCTCCAAGGCGGAAAACAGGCATCACCAGAAATCTCAGCCTCTAGTGAGTCTGGATCAATAATGTCTCATATCTAATATCCTTGTATACTCTCCATTTCAATGATTAATTTGCAGGGATAAGAGTCAGCCCACATAATGTCCTCCTGTCAACGCGCACGCCGCTCCAATACAACGATGTCTCCGACAGGACGGGGCATTTAGCACGCTTTAGGGCGCCATGGCACCATTAGCCCCAAAAACGGCTCATATACATCCCTGCGGTGACAAGGATAAACCGGCTCAACGTACAGGACAGAATGCCAACTCGAAAATAGGAGGGAGGTATCTTGGTCTTTTGGCCCATACCCCTGGAAAGTGGAAAGGGCATTGGCAACCCGTAGCCCAGCAGCTGTTCAGCGTTTCCGCCTCGACAGGTAAACGGCTATTAAATGGAGCCACCAAGGGCGCATATAATCTGACAATATAGGCTGTGGAGTGCATACGCTACGTTGCACTGACCCATTCTAATATGTAACACTATCTAGAGTACTCCCCGTCAAGCAAACCGTCGAACGATCATCCCATCCACTAAACCTACTAATCATGCAACTAGCCAAACGGCTCTATTTCTCCTCACAAGCTACTTCGTACTGACCGGAGTTATATCCGACGGTCCAGAACAGAAATGGACAGGGCCCAGCAACTGAGCTTCCTGGCGTGACTGGTCTCGAAAGGGGTCGATAACCGACATATATCCCCTTAATCTACCCTGTGCTCGATCGCGGTCGGTGAAAAGTGACAAGTACCAGCAAAATGCCTTCAAATGAATCATTCTCAGTTTCAAACGGCCACATCCAGGATGACTGGTCTGTTGACCCAAGTCAATTTGCGTTTACCCCTCGAAAGCTCCGAGTGGTTTGCATAGGCGCGGGCTTCTCGGGGTTGATACTGGCGTACAAGTTGAAGCACGAGAGACCAATGGACTTTGTGGATTATACTATCTACGAGAAGAATCCAGAGGTTGGAGGGACGTGGTACGAGAATGTCTATCCCGGGGTTGGATGGTTAGTTCTTAGCTTTCTCTACGTAAGAGTATCCGCTGATGATTCTGGTAGTGACATTCCGGCCCGTAAGCTTTATTCACATTCACTGCTGCTTGTTCTAATACCAAATAGATAGCTATGTCTTCCCATTCGAACCAAATCCTAACTGGTCCAAGTTCTATGCCAGCGGACCAGAGATCCAGGACTACATCGTCAACACGACGGACAAATACGGTCTCAGAGACAAAATCACATTCAACACGAAGCTTCTACAAGCGGCTTGGGACGAAAGAGACGGAAAGTGGAAACTCACGCTGGAGCAGGCAGGTTCGCTCATCGAGGACGTAGCCGATATCGTAGTGGACGGCAGTGGCATCCTAAAGTACGCAACTCTCACTCCGGGCGTCACGTATGAGACTGACTTGGGACAGTCAATGGAAATGGCCCGATGTCGAGGGAATGGATTTATTTCAAGGAAAACTCCTTCATAGTGCCCGATGGTAAGCGCTAAGGTAATTCGCTGGTGCTCTGTAACTAACGATATAGGGATCCGGACTATGACTGGACAGGCAAGAGAATTGCCGTCATTGGCAACGGATCTTCTGCTCTGCAGATCGTTCCAGCGCTCCAGCCAAAAGCTGCAAAGATTGTCAACTACATCCGCCGCGCGACCTGGGTGTCGACGAATCTCTGCGGGAATCTGACCAAAGATGGCATGGGGACGAACTTTGAATTCACGGAAGAGGAAAAGCAGCGTTTTAGAGATGACCCTGAGGAGTTTCTCAAATACCGCAAGACAGTCGAGGACTCGTAGGTTCGTCTCTGCCAATATCAGAATTGTGCTAATATCCCCTCAGGGTCAACTCCGTTTTCCGACTCATGCTCTCCGGCTCCGAAGAGAACAGGTTCCTGTTCAAGCTCATCGACAGCGTTATGCGAGCCCGGCTGTCCAAGGACCCAGAGTTAGCCGACAAGCTCATCCCAAAGTATGAAATTGGATGCCGCCGTCTCAGCCCCGGAGACGGCTACCTCGAAGCCCTGCAGGCAGACAACGCGGACATTTGCTTCGACAGCATCCAACGCATTACCGAGACCGGTATTCAGACAGACAAAGGCGTCGAGGAGTTTGACCTGGTCGTCTGTGCTACCGGATTCAACACCTCTTTCATTCCTGCCTGGGAGCTCGTCGGCCGAGACGGACGCCGTCTCGACGAGGAGTGGAAGGAAAAGCCTGAGGCGTATTTTTCTGTCTGCGCGGCTGGTATCCCCAACTACTTCATGTTTGCTGGCCCGAACTGCCCAATTGGACATGGCTCGGTACCGCAGATGCTCGCCTGGACAGCGGATTATATGTTAGATTGGGTCCAAAAGTTCGCAAGCGAAGATATCAAGTATGTCTGTCCTTAGTCAGATACCAGGGCATCTACTGACGTATCCAGATCGGTTGCCGTCAAAGACTCCGTCGTCCGTGATTACAACATCTACGCGCAGGAGAATCTTAAACGCGCGGTCTGGTCCAAGGGCTGCCATGCCTGGTACAGCAAGAAGAACAAGGGAGAGGGCGTCACGGTGACGGCAATGTATCCGGGAAGTGTCTTGCACTACAAGGGTGAGTTACTGCTGGCTATTTACCAGAATGTACTAAACATGGCGTAGCTGTCCTGAGAACTATCCACGGCGAACATTTTGATATCCGGTACAACACGACCAATCCGTTCCGGTATCTTGGAAATGGGGAGCTGGCTTGGGAGCGAGGGGACGGAGCGGATCTGGCGTTTTATCTGAAGTAGACTGTACAACGAGTACACTCTTCTGAGATGGGAAACGAAAATATTGATGAGTATGCTTAACTGGGCTCGTCCAAGTATGTGCCTTGAAGATGATACTACGAGACCACCGGTTGAATGTGATCACCGAAGAAGAGCATCCCGACTGTACCATGCCCCTATGTCTACCATTCAATTGCTCATACAGAAGATTAAAGTCAGGGTTTCCTAGTAATTACTTCAAGGCAACATTTTACAGCCGGCTTGCTCAAAAGGTTGGAGGCTGCCAAAGGCACATCCCTTGCCGTGTGACGCTCTTGCTCTCGGGCTTTCCTCGTTTCTTACCCTCCTCCACCGTCTTGCCGGTCTGGTCTTTTCCTTCTCAGAGAGCGTCCAGATCGCCCTATTGCTACTATCTTTTGCCTTTCCTTCAGGTTTATCTTCTCCACCATCATAATCCTCAAGCCCGACTACCGTTGGCAGGATGAAACAGTCGCGTAATGATGTAATGTCTTGACGACGAATTCCATCATCACCAGGAATATGGAGAAACTCTAGCCTCTCCACAATCTACTCTTGAGATTTCGAAGGACTCCAGAGCATCCCGGGTTCCCCAGAGACTCACCTTTGTCTGAGGGAGTCCATTTCAATCAGCCTCGGAATGCAGATCCGGCCCATATTGGCCACGCCGCAGTTCACAAGCTCGGGGCGGCCGACTGCTAGGTTTGAGGAGTCCACGTTCCATTGTCCCCGGGGTACAATTGCGCCCTATCCTTTTCTTAATCGCGGAGGCAAATGCGGAGAACTATTGGCAGTCGACTGCATTACCCTCCCCGGATGTTTCCTCCACATCCAAACGCTCGGTGAAGCTTGGTAGAGCCTACCCTGGCCTATGGTAGCGTGACGTCAAACCAATCGGAGGCAAGAAGGTGATAATCGTAGTCTAGGCCGGCCGCGAGAGGCGATTCTCGTATGGCAGAGCTAGACGCATTTAATGGAGAAAACTCCCCATTCTGATTGAGGCAGGACTCATCATGAGCACCGCTCGCAACCTTCTATTGAACCATTTCATCAATTCAAACTCAATGCACCATGTCTGCCTCCCATGACTCCCATCCCGAGTTCAACATTTCCCAGGAGCTTGGCTTGTCTGATGGGGAGAAGCAAGAGGCTCCCGATGGTACCGCAGCGCATTCGCCTGCGTCTCAGTCTAGAGCCTGCCATGGAGAGGAACGGCGGAAGGAAGAGGGAGCCGATGGGGCGGCTGATGGACGGGCCGATGGCAAGGTAGAGTTGAAGGAGAGTGACTGTTATGATAAATTGGGGTTCTCCTATCCATCGTGGAAGAAATGGACAATCTTGACGGCCGTTGTCATGGTTCAGATTTCCATGAACTTCAATGCCAGTTTCTACGCCAGCGGTATCACTCCGATTGCTAAACACTTTCGCATTGCAAAACAAGCCGCAAGAGTGGGTCAAATGGACTTCCTCATTGCGTACGGATTCGGTAGCGAGTTCTGGGCTCCCTGGAGTGAAGAGTATGGGAGATGGCCCGTCATGCAACTCAGTTTGCTCTTTGTGAACATATGGCAGATACCATGTGCCCTGGCTCCTAATTTTGGCACCATCGTGGTCTGTCGTGCGTTGGGTGGTCTGTCATCTGCCGGTGGCTCTGTGACACTCGGTATGGTTGCGGATATGTGGGAACCAGATCGGCAACAGTACGCTGTGGCGTACATTGTCTTTGCATCGGTAGCAGGATCAGTCGTGGCACCCATTGTCGGAGGCTTCGTAACGACTTTTCTGAGCTGGCATTGGAACTTCTGGCTCCAGCTCATCCTGGGTGGCTTCGTCCAAGCCGTGCACTTTTGGGTGCCGGAAACGCGCTGCAGCATTCTCGTGACGAGAGAAGCTAGAAAGAGACGCAAGCAGGGAGAGGAGGTGTACAGTGGTGACGAGCTCAAAGGCAAACGGGTTGACCTCAAGTACTTTGCGACTCTCTGGGCTCGTCCGTTCGTCATGTTCGTCCGGGAGCCGATTGTGCTATGGCTTTCCCTCCTCAGTGGGTTCAGTGACGCCTTGATCTTCACTTTCCTGCAATCCTACGAACCTGTCTACAAGCAGTGGAATTTCAATACCATCACAATCGGGTTGGCCTTCATTCCGTAAGTCTCTCTCGACGATAACCGCGAAGCAAGTGCTTGCTAATTATAAAGGATCATGATTGGATACTTTCTGGCTTGGTTCTCCTTTCTGCCCTGGATTCATCGCCACTGCCGTGTGCTTGAACGAGATCCTGACGCGCTCCAGCCCGAAGTCCGTCTATACTGGCTACTATGGGGTAGGTCTCTTCTCTCTTCTCCATTTGCCTGTCAAACTCATAATAGTATTAGTTGCTCCACTCTTGACGATTGGTCTTTTTGGCTTCGCATGGACCAGTCTAGGTCCGAAGCACAACGTCCACTGGATAGCGCCGATGATATTTTCCGCCTGCATTGCGATAGCGAATGTAAGTTCTCCTCAGGACTGCTGGACTTGCCTTAACGCGGAGACAGTATTCCATCTATATGGCCACAATCGACTACATGATTGCCTCCTACGGACCCTATTCCGCCTCAGCAACCGGGGGCAATGCCCTAGCACGAGACTTCCTGGCAGGCATCGCAGCCATGTATTCCGTTCCAAGTAAGACCAGCACAATTTTTGAAAGATACTCAGGTGCTGTGCTAATAAATGCCAAGTGTACAAATACATGAGCAAATCACTCCCCCTGGAATGGCCTTCCACCCTCCTCGGCTTCCTATCCATCATCTTCATCACCCCGATCTACATCTTCTATTGGAACGGACCTAAGATCCGTGAAAGGTCCAAATTCGCCCAGATTCTCGCGTCCGACAGGAAGAAGGCCGGACGCCGGGTCTCTCAATGCGGCTCTGGCGATGCCGGTCCCGAGGAGTACTACTTTGATCCATGAGACTGAACCGTTTAGCAGTTTGGAATTTGACCTCTCAGTTTGACACTCAGAAGTTCTCTTCGTGCGATTTTGTTATATGACAGCTGAAGGGAGAATCCCAGTAAGTGAGATTGGCGAAAATGGTGCCAAATGGGACTAACAAGCTGGTGCATTTGAATGCTTGATCTTTGCTTTTCCTGTCTTCTTCATTCGATTACACTGCATGGTATTCGCATCAGCTTGGCGAATTGGTGACACTATGATAATTGGAGCGAATTTGTTTCTAGGCACCTGGTATGGCTATCAATCGAGCTTTCGACTTTTCTTCTTCTGGTAGAACCTGACGCTATTCTGACGCGTCACATAGACTCGGCATCAATTTCCGAGGTCCGAAATAATTGGTTGCCGGGTATGAACCCGGAATGAACTTCCGGTACTCGAGGTTCTGATGGTATCACCCATTTCTGCAACGCTTCATTGTTGTTAGCCAAGTTGTACTGCGCTGATTCGTAGACCATCTTGTAGGACACGCAGACTGCGATTAGATTAAGAGTATGAACACGATAGTGATGCTGTTTGATATAGTTGTGTCGTGCTATGGCGTAGGTATATTTGTATCTTGGCCACATCCAAGTCGTTATGGTCATTTAGAACCAGTATCCGCATCTGTTCCAGATCTTAATGCAGATTCATGTCTGTATCTGTAGCGGATAGGCGTTCTGAGAGCCGTGGTTGATCGATTCACCTCCGAGACTGCGAAAGGATTCCTATAACGTCAATGACGTAGGGCTCGACAAGTAACTAGGTTGACTTCAGTTTGTTGCACGAATGCCGAATCAATCTCGCAGACAAGCGCTGTCATGTTGTGGATTTCTATGGTGGCCGATGGCGCAAGCAACTTTGCAGCATCGATCTATCATTGATCCCACAGATTCTGAAGTTTCCGAATTTGCGAACCAGTCGCCCATCCTAGATCAGCTTCGACGCCGCGTAGCAGGTCTCCAATAATCTGGCGTTCCTCGGGGCTCTCGAGACACTGCCCCACGGCAAAGAGCAGGGGTATCATGTAGATACGGACACCACCTTGCGGTCTGCCGAGAGCGATGCCGCAAATCTCCTTGCAGCGGTAGTCGACTTCTTTCGTCAGCTCTCGGTAGCCCTGTAGCCGGTCAAAGGCGGTGCTCGGTGCGCTGATCACATCCGGCGGACGGTTGAGTAACAGTGCAAGACGGCCAAATTGATACTGCTGCATCGCCGCGGCGCAGGATGTCATGCCATAGAAGATCTCGGGGAACGGCATCTCGGCGATCTCAGGTAGTTTGGATAGATCCTTGGGGCGAGCAAGACGCAGGCAGGGGCGAAATGTCTCGGGGATCTTCTCGACCCACGTTTGGAACTCGAAGCAGAGTCTCAGCCAGGTGGATGTCGTCGGCTGAGAACGTGGAGATGTGACGGTTGGAGAAGGTGAATTGGTCGGTGGCTGGCCAACCCACTGCTCTACCTGGGACCTTTTCGAAGCAGCCAAGAAGTTGAGAACCTTGTTCAGAAGCCAGATCAGACTGTTTGCTGCCAAGTCTTCTCGTTGGAGCATCATTGGGTTTCGAGTCAGTCCACTCTCTAACCGGAGGTTTCCTTGTTCGTCAATGGGGATGCCGGCGGCTCTCCATAGTGCGAGGCTGTCCGGATCAAAGTGTGTCAAAGACCGATTGAAATAGGCTCCTAGATAGTCAAAGCGAGCAAAGTCAAAAAAGCAGGCCGCAATCCCATGTGAAAATTGTGGAGGCTCTGCATAATTGCTGTAAATTTGCAACATACTATCAAAAGCAGATTTGGCGCCATTGAGATGACTGTTCAGAGGTTAGCGAAGCACGCAACCGGGGATGCGCTTAATAATGCAACATACGATTGCCACATTTCTCCAGCTTCATCCAAGAGCTTGTACGTTGTGAGGATGACCGCCGCGGCGAGTAAGTCTTCCACTTTTCTCCAAAAGGTCCCTATGACTGGTTGCTCCGTAGGAGGTCCATGTCCAGTTTGCTGTACTTGGAGGTTCAGCCATCGACTGACGGTCTCCACTGGCGACTCCAGGACGGCTGTGCTGGAGACAGCTGAATAGGCATCGGAGACAGAGGTGTTGATATGAGAAGCGGCAAGATAGTAGTAATTAGCAGCTTTTAGAAACCAGTCCACCTGAGCCGAATTCGGGTACACCTCCATTGTCGGCGGACTGGTAAACAGTCCTCCACCGGCCGGAGATATTACGCCTTTGACTCTGCCCAGGTGCTTCGCTGCCAGAGCTGCGATTGCATACTTGAGACAGGGATCATCAATCGCGCGAACTGGAACGTATGCTGAAAAGAACTTTCCAGAGTCCGAGATGTCTAGCCTGAGATGAATGAGCACAAAAGGTAGCAGCCTAAGAGAGACTTTACGAACCAAGGTCCCAGAGTCGCTGAGAAGTGCCTCGTAAGAAATGCAAGCTCGTGCTCAGTACCAGTCATTAGCTCCGAGAATATATCCTGAAACTTCTCTTCCTCACCACGCTGCGAAGGACTTCTTGGAGAGTTCAAATGCGTAGCGGCAGTGGTTTTCTTGAGCTCGCCGTAGACGTTATTTGGCACGGCGAAGCCTCCAGCTGCCGTCTTATTTGGCGAAAATGGGCTCTGTGCGTTGCTCCGACTGGAAGCACTCTGCTGATCAGAACCTGCAATTTCGGTTGGCCCAGCCTGTACTGCGGATTGATTCACAACCTCGGCCATGCCGTCTGTTTGCACGGGTGGGTCTTGCACGGTTGACACTAGCTCATTTGGCGTTGAACGGACCGCTAACTGAGTGATCTCGGCAGTTCCCAAGCCAGAGTTGGCGTGAGACAGACCTTGGTCAGCGGTACTTTGCATCACATTTTGCTCAAAATCTGTTGTGTGAATGCCGGCTACCTGTCTTGGTATGAGATGTAATCATAAACAAGCATAAGGGAAGTGCACAGACTTACACCCTCCTTCGATTTGGCTGCATGTGGCTTTGAGTGAACTTCATTGTAAGGTGCATATCGACGCCTTACAGAAGCACCTTGGTCTATGAACTTGCGGGTTTGGACATAACCAGGGCATTCTACGCCAGCATTGGTACAACGCTGACAGCTTGGCCGTGTTTCGTCGCACTGAAAGGTCAGGAAATGCGTCAAATTGTCCAACTGAGCTCGTGAAACACACCTTGAGATGTCTCTTTTTACAACGTTCGCAAGCCTTGTTGGATGGTACCCCTGGCATTGTCGATCTTTGCTCTGCGGCATTCAATTATGCGGGAGATGATCTCTTCTTCTAAGCGCGACTGAGGGTCTCATCTCAATTCACACGACGAAGATGACGAGAAGGTTTTAGATCGTAGATCAAGGAAAGTGCGCGCTCGGCCAAGAAGTAAGGAAAAGCTTAATCGTCAAGGGATCTTGAATTCTTGATGGATTATGGATTGGGGCAAGTCGAGTGACGTGCATCGGCGCTCGTTCGGATAAAAGTCGGCAAGTTCTTCGGTATCGTCTCACCGCCTGGCAGTATCCGTTTTTTGGCTGCGAGAGGTTTGGTCCTACTGTTTCGTATTATTTTGTAGAATTGACTCTTATATGAGCGTTCCTTTTCGAAAGAAGCGCGGTCCTGGTCGCTGAGATGCTGAGAAGTCTGGCTAGTCAAAACTACCCTGGTCAAGGCCGTGCAGGTCTTGACAGGTCGCCGAACGATAAGATCGCAGTAGAGCTGGGCCATCCGGTGCCCTCGAAAGTTGATTCTCATGTGTTTACAGATAATGAGAAGAGCCGTATTTACACGGACTGGATCAGTTAGTTCTCCATTCTAGTCTACAGGCTTATAGAATCACTAACGTGTACACGTGATTGCAGAAGCAGGGAAACCTCACAATTTGGTCTGCTCAGAGTGTCGAAGTCCAGATGATTTGATGCTTTGCGAGACTTGTTGTAGGTCATACCATGCACGATGTCTGTCAGATCCTGCTAGAGCTGCTTCTACAGGCAATTTTTATTGTCCTTCTTGCAGAGATAAGCGATGGGATCTGACGCCGCCTCCAATCAACTCATTGGCGGCTTCACCGGACGTCTCTCGGAGCAGCACACCTGTTCCACATCCAGCTATAATGCATAGTCGCACAGGTCCGGCAGACATCCTGACCACACAGACAAGTCTGCAAAGTCCGCCTGTCCATTCTTCGCCGGTTGATAGTCAGCAGCAGGGCGCCCAGAATGTGCCCAGTACGGCATCAAACTCTGACATCATGTCTCGAGCGCGACACTTTCTGATCCAGCGTGGGAAGTTTCCTACATCTCAGGAGTTTCATCCCGAGCTCTTGTCGAATTTGGGGACAATGATGTTGGAGCTAGAGTCCCAACAGTTGTTGCTCCAGGAAATCCAGGACTTGCGAGAGGAAAACGCCAGCTTGAGAAGAGAGGCTTTGAAAACCAAGCACCACTATCCCTCTCGAATGCCGATAAATGAGTCTGTCCTCAATTCCCCTTTTTATCTAGCGCCTAGGATCCAGACTCCATCTCCCGACACAGCTGGAAAGTCATGGGACAGAATTGTTATGGATTTGATTTGATCTGTTGGCAACCTCGCTCACGAAACCATATGTTTATCGTTGCTTGCCTGTCGCTAGGCTTTGTGTACCCTCGGGAGCTACACCAGGTTGCGTCAGCATAGTATGCATGCGAACTTGATGGGAAGTGAAATGGAACTGGTCCGTTGCAGAACAATGCCCATCTGCAAGCCATACACCCACCGTTGTGCTCGACAAGTTTTTGGTCGATATCGTGGAGACATTTGGCCGTGTCCTGAAGAGTCACGTCACGCATGGTTGGGAAACTGCAATTACCAGAGCCACAAGAGCCACAATTATTGATGCCGCACCCTCTGTCGACAGTCCAGACTCCACGCTCAAGCTTGCTTGTCCAGAACTACGACCTGTTGATCCGTTGGCGTCCTCTTCCAAGATTAAAGAACTCACTCTGAACGAAA